TATTTACTGCTAGGTAAACATAGGCATTACGTGAAAAAAAAACATGCTCAACTAATTCACTCCCTTCGGGAAATCGAACCTGGGCTCTCCGATGGTGAGTCGAGAACGAAGCCAACTGTACTACGAGCCACAGAGAACTAGATTACGAGTTATTTCGGCGGTGTCTGGTAAATGTCGCAGAATATCCTAGTTATGTCGACGACTTTAACCTGGAGGAAGCATGAAACATAGACGCGTAGTGACGGAGAGACGCGCTACAAGGATGCCTGCAGTAACTTAAATTATGGGTATTGTTGGAGAACATTAAATAATAGTAACAGTGGAACTGTGTGGTCATTACTATCTACAATTAGAGACCGCCCCGTGATAATATCTAATACTACCGTTGACAATAGACCCCGAAACACACGACTCTTCTCACACAATAGACTCCAGACTTGCGTGTATCAGTGAGGGATTCAGCATGTAGTTTTGTCGTATTTTATTTGTACAAGATTTCTAATAATGTTTGTTTTTGTTATTTCCAGATAACTGTATTTCCTGTCTTCTAAGGTACAGTACTACACCTCGTGTGAGGCTTCCACTTATTACAAAAGTTTGTTTTTCTACGATTAAAAGAAGGGTACAGGTATATATATATATTTTTGCTTTAAGTAATTAATGTGTACTGCTTTTCTCCGTCCTATCAAAACTACTTATCCTCTTTTCCCTTCCAAGGGCTGTTTAAGTGTAATGGCTTAGCGCTTTACCCTGATAATTCCCTTCTCTCTCTGCCCTTTCTATGTTGCATGTTATGTGCCTCTGTAACCATATATATAAGTTTCAGCCCCAGCTCCTGTGCCAGATAAGTCCATTACGGGCTCGCCATAGCCCGTGCTACTTGGAACTTTTAAAGTTCCCAGTAGACGAATCTTAAACAACAACAACAACAGCCTGTGTATCCCTCTCCCGCTCGCAGGCTGGGTATGGGGTGCATAGTAAGTGAATGAATATGTTTAGTCTCGCTTTTGTGTTGAATTGAAATTGAAATAAGTTTATTGAGGTAAAATACACACAAAGGGATGAGGTAGCTCAAGCTATTCTATATTTGTGTTGGTTTACCGTTTTGTGTGTGGGGGGAAAACCGTTTTGGCGTTAAGGATATTACACATGTAAGATGATGACTGAAGGTAGATTAAATATTTAGCTTTGTAGGGGCAGGTCAGGTCTAATTTTTGGGTTTCTACTGCAGATGTAACCATTCATTTATATTACAATGTTTACCAGCATACATGCCTTTACTTCTGTCCTCCATGGGCACAGTTAGATAGGATAGATTGTGCACTCGATTTAGAATGCGGTTAAAGTAGTTTTAGATTGTAAAATACAATTCTATGTTGCATTTGTGTATGTAATTTCCTAAGTGTAGCTACAAGGTGAGAGCTACGCTCGTGGTGTCTCGTATAACCGGGTGTCTCGTATAACCGGGTGTCTCGTATAACCGGGTGTCTCGTATAACCGGGTGTCTCGTATAACCGGGTGTCTCGTATAACCGGGTGTCTCGTATAACCGGGTGTCTCGTATAACCGGGTGTCTCGTATAACCGGGTGTCTCGTATAACCGGGTGTCTCGTTTAACCGGGTGTCTCGTTTAACCGGGTGTCTCGTTTAACCGGGTGTCTCGTTTAACCGGGTGTCTCGTTTAACCGGGTGTCTCGTTTAACCGGGTGTCTCGTTTAACCGGGTGTCTCGTTTAACCGGGTGTCTCGTTTAACCGGGTGTCTCGTTTAACCGGGTGTCTCGTTTAACCGGGTGTCTCGTTTAACCCGGTGTCTCGTTTAACCCGTACTGCCATAAGACGCTTCGGAACTACTGATGGTTGAAACTGTGTGTGTGTTTGTGTATAAGTAAGGAAGTAAACACTCGTCTCCTAGACTGACGGGGGGGAGAGAGAGCTACGGCAATATACAGAAAGATTTACGAGTGTAGTCCAGTTACTGTTAGGTCTTTGACCTCGGAGAAAATATATATCAAACATAACACAGTGTGATGAAACTTGAATTACGCGACGCGTGTACAGAACCAGTTTTTTTAAGAGCAGGTTTCATAACAAGGTCAGATGGGATGGGAGTTGTGTTGGGATAGGAGGGAGGGGTGTTGTGATGAACACCTTGAGGTTATCTTGAGATGATTTCGGGGCTTTAGTGTCCCCGCGGCCCGGTCCTCGACCAGGCCTCCACCCCCAGGAAGCAGCCCGTGACAGCTGACTAACACCCAGGTACCTATTTTACTGCTAGGTAACAGGGGAATAGGGTGAAAGAAACTCTGCCCATTGTTTCTCGCCGGCGCCTGGGATCGAACCCAGGACCACAGGATCACAAGTCCAGTGTGCTGTCCGCTCGGCCGACCGGCTCCCGACCTGTTTTTCTTTTGTTTAGCTTGTGAGAGGTGGGCAGGTGTGAGAGGTGGGCAGGTGTGTGTGTGGTGCACCTGTCATGTTTTCCTCTTCTCGGTAATGTTGGTTGACTGGTGTTGGTGCGGCCCTGTGGTGGTGGTGGTGGTGGTGGTGGTGGTGGCGGCGGCCAGGCGGGGACATTACATGTCTCAACCACCATATTTGTCCGCCCTTCCGTCGCTGCACTTCATTTTAGTTTTAAGGCACGAACTCTAATGTGTTTTTTGTCGTCATTATTATTAGATCAGATCAGCACCGAAATGATTGACTGGTGTCAGGCGATGCTTTGGTGAAGATGGTGTGGGAGGCGGCGGCAGTAATGGTGATGACTTAGGGATTGACGATATTGTGAGGAGGGGGGGGGGAGTGTTAACTTACCTAGTTGTGCTTCCCTGGAAGTAACTACACAAAGGTGAGGTCTGTTGCGTTGCCCCACGATATCTTTCAGTGCAATCAACTTGTAGACCAACAGTGTTCGGGGCGAGTTTAACAAGGACTTAACATCCATGGCCTTGTTTAATTTTATCTTTAAATAAAGATACGGCCATGTATGATGGAGTAAAGGGATCCCCTGGGGTTGGGGGGGGGGGAAGTTGAAGAGGGGGAGGGGGCAAGGATCAAGGCGTTTGTTGTTGCATGGCGTCCAGTGACCAGTTCTTGCCACTACTTGGGTAAAAGCTTTTGCATTAGTTGAATGTTTATACACATTTGATCGCTCCCGTCACCAGACCAGCGCCAAGTATGCCGCTACTTTTAATATGTCCTCCATGAGACTATCCGTCTACACCCCTCCCTGTCCCCCCATCTCCACCCCTCCCTCTCTTCCCATCTCCACCCCTCCCTCTCTTCCCATCTCCACCCCTCCCTCTCCCCCCCATCTCCACTCCTCCCTCTCCCCCCCATCTCCACCCCTCCCTCTCCCCCCCCTCCCTCTCCCCTATCTCCACCCCTCCCTCTCCCCCATCGCCAACCTCCCCATCTCAAAACTTTTTGAGATGGGGAGGTTTTGAACAAATCCACAAGGGCCGTGACGAGGGTTCGAATCTACGTCCGAGAGGATCCCAGACGCTGCCTTAATCGACTGAGCTACAACATGAAAGCGTCTTCTGGCGTTCTTTCGGACGTAGGTTCGAACCCTCGTCACGGCCCTTGTGGATTTGTTCATTTGATGCATCACGCTATTGTGATTTGTGTGTGTAATGGCGAGGTTTTGTTCCGCGTAGCTGAATCTAAAAAACTCACAAGCTCGCTCGCTTGCTCTTTTTCTCTCACGCCTTTCTCTCTACCTCTCTTTGACCATGTCTCTGACCATGTCTCTGACCATGTCTCTGGACATTAGAGGCGGTGTGCCGGACTGGCCACCATGGGAGAGGGAGGGTTCCTGGCTGTGTGCGCGTGACAGATCTGGACTTTTAATGACAAAATTTCCGTTCACGGTTGACGTTGTCCTAAAGTGTTTTTGTTATATATTTACTAATAATGCAAATTGTTGGAGTATCGTGTCTCTCTGTATACGCATGTCAGACATGTGTGTGTGTCGTGGTTATATCCCTCCGTATATGCGTCATCCTTGGGTCAGATATGACCTTAATTGGGGGGGGGGGGGCTTGTCTGACCTGACCTGACAGGACAGCTGAACATTTGACCTACCCCCAGGGACCCGGGTAACCTCCCCCCCTCTACCCCGACTCTCCCGGCTCTCTGTTGATCCATTTGTCCAATTTTTACCCTAAAATGGACCGCCCTCCCCTCCACACATCTTCACCTGTTAAATATTTAGTTATCACCAGTGTGGTATTTAATAATTTATGTAAAGCACCTGTTTTAACCATTACTTGTTTAGATGTAAGGCAGATTTAAATTGCAATATAATGAATTTGTTCTTGTTTTATTATTATTATTATTATTATTATTATTATTATTATTATTATTTTTCACTGGTAAAATCCAATGGTTGTGGAAGTGTAGCTTCCGCCGTTAGTTTTGGAAGTGACAAGAGCAGGACAAGCTTGCAGGGGCCAGCAGGTCTACGTGAGTCTCACCTTTTTGTATTTATACACGGACTACTTGTCATATCTGGCGGCGGGGGCGGCAGGTGGGCTCCTGGTGCTGGGGGAGGGGGGCGGTGGTGTTGATACTTGGGGGTGCCAAGCTAGAGTAACCCCTGTAGACCTCCTGCTCCAGAGGCCATACTTCCTTCACTCTGTCTAGTCCAGTGGGGGGGATGGCAGTGCGCGTGTTCATATGGCGTCTTAGCGGGAGTGTCCGAAAGCAAGACCTCGGTGTATATTGTCTTACGGGTCAAAGGGCCTTTTACGCGATATTTCTGGTGTTGATACGCTCATGCCAAATGCCCGCCGGCTGAGAATGGGGAGGGAGGTGGTGGGGGCGGGGGGTCCTTTTTCGTCAGCCTTTGTCGGTAGTTGCGCATCTGTGGCGAGCTGACTTATGGGTGAGAATGATTTGATTGGAGATTTAATCTCGTTTCCATCTAGTGAGCCACTGAGGAGGAGTAAAAATGCTCTCCTGGAGAAGGTAAAAGCCCGGGAGAGAGGGAGAGAGGGTGTCAGGGTGTGTGGGTGCGGCCAAGGCAGTGGATGTGGCAGGTCTTCGCCGTCTTGTAGTTCCAATGGTAGTGGACCAATTGGCAACCTTTTGGAAAACTTGCGTGCGTTTGTCGATACAGTGTGAGAGTGAAGAGTATTGGTGGTGCTCGCTAGGCGCTTCAGTAAGTGTGCAAGAGGAGTTAGGACTCGACCCAGCACACGGCTGTTCCAAGCCAACATCTTGACAGCCACTCATCATAAAACGATGTGGTTTCCGGGACACGTACAGCTCCAGCCGGATTTATAAATCAACTCGAGCAACTTGCCACCACATAATCACCGCCAACTGTTGGTAAATTGGCCAGCCACCGCCAACTAGTGTAAATGACCCCATTATCGCACAGTCACTGGGCTGCTTCCCTCTAGAGTCGTCGCCCACCGCGGCCTGAAGGTTAACCTTATCTCGGCGGACTGTGAAAGATATCCTTGTTGGACCAACCTGAATAGCAACGTAAGCCAACAAGAACTGATTGGTCTGCAACTACTGAAAGAGGCATTAGTGACCATCGCCGCCTGCTAATACAACGATCCCAACTGTTATCAGCAGTGTTATTTAATCACATTACTAAGAGTTGGTACCACATATATCTAAAGTGTTAGCATCATCCTGTACTGCTAGGAGAGCTGCTACTACTCTCACCACCGCCAGCAGCATCCACAGGTGTCACCACACAACCGCTGCCAAGATGTTTCAGAAAGGAACTGAACACACACTCTTTTTCATCAACTACCTCATCTTGTTCCTGTTATTAGTCATCCTATGGATCCTGTGGTACTCCCTCTCGTAGGATCTCCGGGGGCAAGCGCAGGGTGAAGGGAAGACGCAGATGACAAAGGCAAGAACACGGAGAAGAAAACAACACAGAGAAGAAGGGGGAGAAGATCGTCAAGAGGAGGGGGGGGGAGGGGGGAGGCGTGAATAGAGGGTGAGGAGGAGGAGGACAGGAGTTTGGGTTGTCCTCTTTACGTCCGATCACGCCTCCCCCTAGCTGCCCCTTGACCCTTTTCATCATCATCCCCTTGCAAATGGCTAATCCCCTGCCCCCCTCCATGTCACTGCCCAGCTCTTCACCCCCCACACACACATACAGGTACAGTGCTTGGCTCGTATAGAGGTACAGTGCATGACGCCACTAACATTACCTGGTCAACATTTGACCCACGTTTGTCATATCTGATTGCAATGTGTGCGCGTGTTTACTTGTAGTTTGTAGTTGTCTTGCATAAGTTAATATGGATATAGCTGGCTTTTGTATTTGGGTTACAATTCAATTTAGGCAAGTTTGAAGACACCCGGGTTCCCAGCGGCTTGTGGTAAACATCCACGTGGTTACCCCACATCCGACCACATGCAGGCTACGCCTTCCTGTCTGCCCGAGGCTGCCGCGGTATCACATCAGTGACTTGAATGGTAAACAATTACGCTCCTTGAAGATTGTGTGGGCATAATTTACCCTTGTTGGGCAAGTTGAATTATTATTATGCCCTTCGTTAGTGTGAAGGTTGTGAATCGTTCAGTCCAGGTTTGTTATCCACAAGGGCGGTGCTGGTGGGGCTAAATTCTGAAAAGTTGTAATGGTTGTAGTGTTCATGTTTCATCAGATACACAAGTGTGATAATGTCTTCCTTTCACACACTGGTTGGAAACTTGTAAGCACACACACAGGTGTAGCTGGTAAGGTGCTCCAGTGGATAAGGGAGTATCTAAGCAATAGGAAGCAGAGAGTTACGGTGAGGGGTGAGACCTCCGATTGGCGTGAAGTCACCAGTGGAGTCCCACAGGGCTCTGTACTCGGTCCTATCTTGTTTCTGATATATGTAAATGATCTCCCGGAGGGTATCGATTCATTTCTCTCAATGTTTGCGGACGATGCTAAAATTATGAGAAGGATTAAAACAGAAGAGGACTGTTTGAGGCTTCAAGAAGACCTAGACAAGCTGAAGGAATGGTCGAACAAATGGTTGTTAGAGTTTAACCCAACAAAATGTAATGTAATGAAGATAGGTGTAGGGAGCAGGAGGCCAGATACAAGGTATCATCTGGGAGAGGAAATTCTTCAGGAGTCAGAGAAGGAAAAAGACTTGGGGGTTGATATCACGCCAGACCTGTCTCCTGCAGCACATATCAAGCGGATAACATCAGCGGCATATGCCAGGCTGGCCAACATACGAACGGCATTCAGAAACTTGTGTAAAGAATCATTCAGAACTTTGTATACCACATATGTCAGGCCAATCCTGGAGTATGCAGCCCCAGCATGGAGTCCATATCTAGTCAAGGATAAGACTAAACTGGAAAAGGTTCAAAGGTTTGCCACCAGACTAGTACCCGAGCTGAGAGGTATGAGCTACGAGGAGAGACTACGGGAATTAAACCTCACTTCGCTGGAAGACAGAAGAGTTAGGGGGGACATGATCACCACATTCAAGATTCTGAAGGGGATTGATAGGGTAGATAAAGACAGTCTATTTAACACAAGGGGAACACGCACAAGGGGACACAGGTGGAAACTGAGTGCCCAAATGAGCCACAGAGATATTAGAAAGAACTTTTTTAGTGTCAGAGTGGTTGACAAATGGAATGCATTAGGGGGTGATGTGGTGGAGGCTGACTCCATACACAGTTTCAAGTGTAGATATGACAGAGCCCGATAGGCTCAGGAATCTGTACACCTGTTGATTGACGGTTGAGAGGCGGGACCAAAGAGCCAGAGCTCAACCCCCGCAAACACAACTAGGTGAGTACAACTAGGTGAGTACAGGACTGTCTGGGTCTGGTAGCTGAGTGGACAACACGCAGGACTCGTAATTCTGTGGCCCGGGTTTGATTCCCGGACTAGGCAGAAACAAATGGGCAAATTTTCTTTCACTCTGAATTCCCCTGTTACCTAGTAGTAAATAGGTACCTGGGAGTTAGACAGTTGTTGAGGAGCTGCTTCATGGGGTGTGTGTGTGTGTGTGGAGGGGTGGGGGGAATAGTAGTTAATAACGGTTGATTGACAGTTGAGAGGCGGGCCGAAAGAGCAGAGCTCAACCCCCACAAGCACAACTAGGTGAATACAGGTGACTGCCACGGAGGGGCGTCATTGTATCCTGTAGTCAGATTCAAGATCTGTGAGGACTTGTTTAGCTTAGGTCTGAGGGCTGAGGGTCTATTATCCCGGTCTGAGGGCCGGGATCAAGCAGACGAGGCTCAACCCCAGCTATTACAATTAGGTGAGTACTTCTGTCCCCAGTCAACCCCACCTCCACCCCACCCCCACCCTCTCCCCACCCTCTCCCCACCCCCTCCCCACCCCCTCCCCACCCTCTCCCCACCCTCTCCCCACCCTCTCCCCACCCCCTCCTCCTCCCATCTCAGGCTTGAACCTCAGTGCTTTGTTTCCTCTCGACCAAGTCTTGAGAGATTCTTTGATATCTTGAGAGACATTCTGCGACAAGTTGAATGTGTAGTAACATTTTGTACTCTAAGGATATATACACGTCTTCAATTCAATTCAATTTCTTTCTTTATTATGCACCCCATACCCATCCTGTGGGTGGTGGTGTAAAGGATTACAGAGGCACATAATCGGTTCAGAACTGAACCCTCTAGTTCGTTTAGCCTTGCAAATATATTTTGTTGACGCTAGTTACAAAATTCTTAATGTTATATATACATGTTCACATTCTCATACATGTACATATATATATATATATATATATATATATATATATATATATATATATATATATATATATATATATATAATGTCGTACCTAGTAGCCAGAACGCACTTCTCAGCCTACTATGCAAGGCCCAATTTGCCTAATAAGCCAAGTTTTCCTGAATTAATATATTTTCTCTACTTTTTTTCTTATGAAATGGTAAAGCTACCAATTTTATTATGTAAAAGGTCAAATTTTTTTTATTGGAGTTAAAATTAACGTAGTTATATGACCGAACCTAACCAACCCTACCTAACCTAACCTATCTTTATAGGTTAGGTTAGATTACGTAGCTGAAAAAGCTAGGTTAGGTTAGGTTAGGTAGGTTAGGTAGTCGAAAAATAATTAATTCATGAAAACTTGGCTTATTAGGCAAATCGGGCCTTGCATAGTAGGCAGAGAAGTGCGTTCTGGCTACTAGGTACGACATATATATATATATATATATATATATATATATATATATATATATATATATATATATATATATATATATATATACTCATCATATATATACTCATCATATATATACTCATCATCATATATATATATATATATATATATATATATATATATATATATATATATATATACTCACACGTATACATATATACATACACATGCATATTTAATCACCCACACAAATACACACATCAATAATCTTTTGTCACAAGTGATCAACAAAAGGCTCACAACAGTCACTATACAAGGCACTTTACATCTATGATGAGTCACACAGTTACTAGTCTTGCTCCACACCCACCCAACTGGGCGGCAGCTTTACAGTCACGTGCATGCATTACCTACACTTCTTCTGAATCAGACTTGTCGTTCTGTTAAAAGTTTAAAACTTAACGTGATGAGAATGCAAGGTATCTTGGCCTGAACCACTCCTAGACTTGGTGGTTAGGTAAAATAGATATGGATGCTTTTTTAGATTTGCTAGTCAGAGTCCATTAAACAGCTTCATTTAGCGATTATTATTATAATTATTAAGTGCTGCTAATTTACTGTGTCATTGTTAACAACCCTGAAATCACGAGAAACAGCGTGTTAAAAAGTTCTAATATCGTTACAAATATTATCAGTATCGAAGTGTAGATCTTTTCATGGGATCAGAAGATTGGTATCGGTAATAGGGGAGAGACTGAATCAGCACGCGTCAGAATACTAGTATCGACGCACCCATATTAAATACTCCAATATTTTGAAGCAAAATGGGGTTTAGTTTGTATTGATAAATTCTGAGACGTCATTCCTCTTCCCACATTATAATATATTTACCACCTAACAAACCCAAGAAATAAATATTTGTTGTTATTTTAATAAGAAAATTATTGAGTTGGCTTATCGCCGAAATTTGTGTCAATAAGGACGTTATTACATTTGGGGGGGGGGGGCGTGTAGGCTCCGGTCATTGGTCTCGGCTGATAAGGTGGTGGCAGCAAGGGGGGGGGGGGAGGGAGAGGGGAGGGGGGAAGAGCGGAGGGGGGAAGAGCGCATATTTATTCGGACTACTGATGTGCTCACCTCATTTCTACCTCATTCAGCTGATAATAATACAATAATATATATATTATATAAAACATATATATTATATATCTTGTACCCTGCATGTAATCAATATTGTAACTTTTTTGTGTAATGACATTTTCAAATAAAGTTAGATAAATAAAAAAAAAATTATATAAAAATATATAAAAAATAAATAAATATAAGTATAAAAATAAATATATAAATATTATTTAAAAAAAATATATATATAATATATATATTTAATCACTTAGGATTATGACCCGCCTCGCGTGTCCCCGCAGCCAGTTACGTGTAGCGGGAGAAGTACACATATTGGACTTGACTATTTATTATCAAAATGTTTAACACAAATTACAGTATTGTTTAAGTCCACGTGGAAAAAAATACAAGCGGTATTGTTGTGCATTTTTTGTTTACTGCTAGAATCCGCTCAATAAAACATCTAAATTATTGGGACCGATTAAAATGCGCAAATCTTTATTCTCTTGAGCGCAAGCGGGAGAGATGCATAATAATTTACACGTGGACAATATTAGAGGGGCTGGTCCCAAACCTGCACACAGAAATAACACCACATGAGACCAGAAGACATGGCAGGATGTGCAGAATACCCCCGTTGAAGAGCAGTGGTGCAACAGGTACTCTGAGAGAACTTTATCAACATCAGAGGCCCGAGACTGTTCAACACACTTCCACTACACATAAGGGGCATAACTGGCCGACCCCTCACAGTGTTCAAGAGAGAACTTGATAAGCACCTCCAAATGATACCTGATCAACCAGGCAACCAGGCATGATGCAATTCATGCATCAGGCTGCGAGCAGCTGCATCCAACAGCCTGGCTGATCAGGAAGCCTAGTCATAAGACCGGGCCGCAGGGACCTTGACCCCCGGAATCCTTGCAAGGTGGATATTGTAGGGATAGAAAAACTATGCTTCATTATTTCATTCGTTTAGGGTTACTGCGTGTTATTTAAAGGGTGACGACGACGACGACTCGTGGATCGTGTGTAACTGGAGCGACATGTCCTCTCACCATACAGTCGCATTTTTGACGGAATAGAGCTATCCGTTACAAATGCTGCGTATTAGTTGTAAATAAAGCACCATAATATTGACGCTTTCAATGCGTCGGCCTCGATGGGTGGATGCCTGGATTGGTAAGTTTTTACAGATAGAAAACAAGACAAAAAACAATCTTGTCTATTGTTTATACAAAAACAATTACACTTTGACGGGGGTGGCAAATAAAGAGACCGGGCCTCACTGTTGAACATGTCCTTGGACATAGGCTTTGTGGTGTGATAGAAAACAGGAAGTACGCTGTTGTATGTTGTTCATATTATAAGCTTTGGGTTATTTTTTTAAGATATCATAACGCTAACAACAATACGTACTTCATAATGATAATAATAATACATGAATAAATAACGGTTAATTAACAATGTATGATTGTCAGTGGATGCATTTAAGTGGCTGAAGCCCTTGTTATCCGGCAGCTGCGGCTAAGTGCTGTTAGCTATGATAAACTAAAAAAAAAAATATTTGTTTGAGTGCTCGTGAGGAGGAGATGAACGTGAGTGCCAAGGGCTCACAGAGATGGCACTAGTCTGCTAATGGAGCTGACGGTGGGGGTCCTTACATCAATCTTGAGGCTCGGGAAATTTTTGGTGGGGTGGTGGTAGGGGAGTTAAGATTGTGGTAGTTATTGGGGGGGTGGGGGTGGACGATGGTGGATTGTTGTGGTTGTAACCATGATGTATGTGTGTTTCAGCCTACAGTTTAGACCTATTGTTTTATGCATGACCCTCTGTCCTGCGTGACAGTGAATACCAGCATTATCCTCACTTTAATAAGACTATCAAAATCCTCAGATTGGGCAAAATTGTAATTAATTTTGTCAATAAAGATTTTAATAATAATAAAGGTGGTGTGTGTGTGTGGCAGAGGAGTGTAGTGTTGCTGTGGGGTGGGTGATGTGTATGAGAGGGGCGGGGTGAGGACCAGGGTATAAATGGGTAGGTGGCTGGGGGGATTACGGGCTCACCATAGCCCGTGCTACATGGACATTTCGTTCTGAGTAGCTAAATGTAGAACAATAATAATAGGGAGGATGGGGCCGGATTGGAAACAAAAAGTGGGGCTGGCGAACAGTGGGTGAGGACTGTTTTGTAACTGGCGGGGGACGATGCGCGTCAGGTCTGTAATGAGGGGTGGGAATGGTTGGGGTGTACCGGATAGGTGGAGGGAGAATGGGTGTGTGTGGGGGGGGTGTAGTTGTAGGGTGTAGGTATGTTGTAGGTCAATATATTCATGTGGGTGTAGTAGCCACAGGGCCAGAACCAAGGAACACAGAACATAAGAACAAAGGTAACTGCAGAAGGCCTATTGGCCCATACGAAGCAGCTCCTAGGGGGGCATTAACCAAAATGCTGAGGAAAATATATAGTTAGATGGTATTATGATCTATCTTTAAGTTATCTTGAGATGATTGCTGGGCTTAGCGTCCCCGCGGCCCGGTCCTCGACCAGGCCTCCTTTTTGTTACACATCCACAGGAAGCAGCCCGTAGCAGCTGTCTAATTCCCAGGTACCTATTTACGGATAGGTGACAGGGGCATCAGGGTGAAAGAAACACTGCCCATTTGTTTTCGCCTCCATCGGGAATCGAACCCGGAACCTCAGGACTACGAATCCGAAGCGTTGTCCACTCAGTTGTCAGACCCCATGCCCGTGATCACCACGACCGCCACTCTTGCCCTCGTCTTCATCTTTATCGGGTCTTCGTGGCCCCCAGGGTCTTCGTGGCCCCCGGGGTCTTCGTGGCCCCCGGGGTCTTCGTGGCCCCCGGGGTCTTCGTGGCCCCCAGGGTCTTCGTGGCCCCCAGGGTCTTCGTGCCCCCGGGGTCTTCGTGGCCCCCAGGGTCTTCGTGGCCCCCGGGGTCTTCGTGGCCCCCGGGTCTTCGTGGCCCCCAGGGTCTTCGTGGCCCCCGGGGTCTTCGTGGCCCCCGGGGTCTTCGTGGCCCCCGGGGTCTTCGTGGCCCCCGGGGTCTTCGTGGCCCCCGGGGTCTTCGTGGCCCCCGGGGTCTTCGTGGCCCCCGGGGTCTTCGTGGCCCCCGGGGTCTTCGTGGCCCCCGGGGTCTTCGTGGCCCCCGGGGTCTTCGTGGCCCCCGGGGTCTTCGTGGCCCCCGGGGTCTTCGTGGCCCCCGGGGTCTTCGTGGCCCCCGGGGTCTTCGTGGCCCCGGGGTCTTCGTGGCCCCCGGGGTCTTCGTGGCCCCCGGGGTCTTCGTGGCCCCCGGGGTCTTCGTGGCCCCCGGGGTCTTCGTGGCCCCCGGGGTCTTCGTGGCCATTACAGATTTTCTTCGTGTTAAAGACATTCTTTAGCGTAGTCTTTGCTTTCTTCGCCTTAAATCATCTATTTGTTTTTGCTGCTGCTTTCTCATCCGCCCTTATTGTCCTTATTTATAACTTTTCTTTTCGTCTTGCTTCCCTATATCTTCCTTATCATCCTGCTTTTCCTTACGCTTCCCCAAAACTTTCCTCCTTTCTTTTTTCCCCTCCTTAGTCTTCTTTCACTCATCCGAAGTCTTCGCTCTCGTCTCTGCTTTCATCCGATTCTTCGCTCTCATCTCTGCTTTCATCCGTCTTCCTCTCTCATCTATTCACTTAATTTTGGTCACGACTTTACAATCTTTGTAATCTTTTCGTTCTGTGAAGCCTCTGACGGTTGCCTGCTCGTCGCCTGGTCAATATTGGACCTGCTTATATGTTGTGTGCTGGGCCTTCCTTTTTACCCGTGTTCTTTTTTCTTCTTTCACAATATATTAAATTTGTTATTTCTTGGTGTCTGTTATTGCTCCTAATTCCTCAGTTATGTCGTAGTCCTCCTCCTCCTGCAGCCCATCCTCCGAATTGACAGTACGTTTTAATACGAAGTGTAATAAGTACATTTCCTGACTGTCATACATAGTACATAATTGCACTTATGGGGCTGTTACCTTTACCTGCCCATTTATTCTCCTCGTTTTTGGTTAAGACACTCAGAATTTTAGGATGAAGTTTTTAAGTTCAGTTTGCTATACACAAGTTTTAAATATCAGGAATTTCTTGTTCAGTTTTATTAAACAATAGAAATTTTATACAAAATTTGAAAATATCCTGGGTTTACAATTTATTGAAATATTTTAGTTTTGTTTTATTTGTTTTATAAAACTGTAATATCAATATAGCTATAGGTTAAGTAGTAATTGTAATTAAGAAGTAGTAAAATGCTTATCTTCAAAAACTAAGAAACCTAAGTTAGGTTAGGTCGTGGTTTTCTATTCAGTTTTTCAGGTAAACTCAAATATTCACAATATATTTGACAGTACAGTTTAATACCAAGTGAAAATAAGTACAATTCCTGACTGTCATACATAGTACATAGTTGCACTTATGGGGCTGTTACATTTACCTCCCCATTTTTGGAGGACGGGCTGCCTCTTGCCTCGTGTTCCTGTTCCTCCTCCTCCTCTTGCCTCGTGTTCCTGTTCCTCCTCCTGCCTCGTGTTCCTGTTCCTCCTCCTCCTCTTGCCTCGTGTTCCTGTTCCTCCTCCTCCTCTTGCCTCGTGTTCCTGTTCCTCCTCCTCCTCCTCCTCTTGCCTCGTGTTTGTTCCTCCTCCTCTTGCCTGGTGTTCCTGTTGGTCCTGGTGGTGGGCGCGGATGTCCGCACCTGCTCATCGCACCACCAGCACCACTTCTATTAGCGACGAAGGTGCGCGGCGTATATTTTAGGCGGTGTTTATGGCGGGGTCAGTCACGGGAGCCTTTGAAGGCCAGGATCAACTTTCCTGTGTTTGATTTTTTTGTTGTATGCACCTTCCCTTTGGACGTGGGCCAGTGAAGCGTGTGCACGCCGCTTGCGGGGTCTAGTTTTGCCTGGCGTTCCTCACTCTCTTCTTTCCTTCTCTCTCTCTCTCTCTCTCTGTCTTAGACCCGCTAGGCTGAGGTCCCGTCGTGACCAACTCCGGCAGCGGGCTCCTCGTTTCTCATCATCTGCATTTCTCATGTTTCCCACCCGTCCTCTCACCTAATACGTCGCATTTGTACACAAAATCGCCCAGTGCGTTAAATGTGTACCGTATGAGTCGAAATTAAATTATCGTAATAGGCTTGGGCTGGTATGTATTCTTCCGGTTAGGCTAAACAGTTGCATTTTAGTTTTTACCGAGTGTCAGATCATGACAGTATTCTTCTCCCGAACAAATCCTGATATCTTGAATGTTATATTTCGCATTAATTGTCTGCGTAGCTGCCCCGTCTCTTGTTTACTCTTACCGTCTCATTCTGTGTTTTCTTATGACTTCTTACTCCCACATTCATGTCCCTCTTTCTCATATAGTCGTTACCTTCTATTATCACTTGTGTTTACCACATGCTGCTCATTCATTCATAAGGCTATTTAATTTTCCCCATGTTTTGTAGGCCTACGTTCGGAAGCCTAATTATAACTAGTTGCACTTATGGTTTCATTTCCATTTTTAGTAAAAAAAAAAAATCTGACTTTGAGCACGTGTTCCCTAAAAGGTAATGGAGACAGGTGTTCTTGTTAATAAGGCGGAGGCGTGAAGGTAAACATTGAAGGTGTGTGTCAGGTCCCAGCGTGGTAAATGTGAATTTATTGCCAATTTTGTGCCAATCCACATTTAAACATGGGCTGCCACGCAAGAATGCACGCAGTCAGGTTGCTCTCTCTCGCCAGGCCCTCACTCACTCACTCACAACTCACTCACACCTCACTCACAACTCACTCTCTCACAACTCACTCTCTCACAACTCACTCTCTCAACTCACTCCCCATTCGACATGAACGTCGCATTTCGATCGTATACGTTACATGAGGGCACAAATTTTCGTTCCAAAAAAATGGAAGTTGCTCGCAAAACTGACGTACTGTCCCGTTTTCTGTTTGGGTCCTCTGGCAGGTTAGGAGAGGAAGGATACTTTAACTAGACCTCTTTTTTTTTTTGACGCTGGGAAACCTTAGGAGGACGGGCGGGGTGCTGCTCTACCGCCACCAAAGTAGTACCCGAGCATATCGGAATGATTACTAGAATTAAACCTCACGTCACTAGAAGATTGAAGAGTTAGGGAAGATATGCTTTCCACATCAGACTCGCAGGGGAAATTGACAGCGTAGACAGACAGTATTCAACACTGGTGGTACTCAAACAAGGGGGCACAGGTGGAAACTGAGTACCCAAATGAGCCACAGTCACATTAAAAAAAATCAGTGTCAGAGTAGTTAACAAATGAAATGCACTAGGCAGTGATGTGGTGGAGGCAGACTCTATTCACAGTTTCAAATGTCGAAATCATAAGAGCCGAATAGGCTCAGAATCTGTAGGCCAATTGACGGTTGAAACCCGGGACCAAAGAGCTTAACCTGAACCCCAGCAAGCACAATTAGGTGAGTACACCCACACACACACCCACCTCAGGTAAATGCATGGTGATAAGGGGAGTGGCAGGTGAAATGTAGGTATTTATTAGTCTGGCAAGCGCCAGGAGGTGAGGCTTCTGGTAGTGTGTAGAACACTACCTGTGAACCCTTACTGCGTTAAATATGAGAACTTGTAAATTGGCCAGAGGTATGCAACAAGATAAATCAAAGATTAAGGGTTAAATATGGATAGGTTATGGGAACTGTACCTCACCTTGCCGAAAAAAGGAACGCTAGAGATCTAGACTAGAAGGGAAGACGAGAAATTATAGAAATTGGAAACTCGATGGACCGATTTTGATGTAAGGAGCGGGTAATCGTGCTAATGGAATGAATTATGAGACCGTTGAGGCTAACTTCGTACATGGTTTCAAAGGTAGACAAGGTACGAACTTATTGGGATGGGAGTAATTACATCGTATCACTCCCACCTAGAAGGGCGTGGCCCAGTATCTTCTAAAACCCTCATCTTAGTATGTATACATACACAGAACAATTATCATACTTAGTAAATATTCGTACAAAGAATGCATAAGTTGTAAATGATAGTAGAGTTGGTGTGTGTCGACACCCTCAACCCTTGCCCATTGTCATCATTAATAAAGTCCCCGATACTCAGAGTCGCAGTGTTCACGTCCATCAGTAGCGCTTATATACATTACCGGTGTTTATGTAACTAGGATACTTGTCAAAACCTGACGATCGGGAATGCCAGGCCTAGAGAAAAATTCTCCTGCATATATATACATATGTCACAAATGAAGATGAGAAAGCTTCTCTTCTCGCGCGGCGGTGGGGGGGGGGGGGGAGGGAGGCGTGTCACTATTCTGGCTCCAGTATTCATTTGTGTGTTTATGCAAATGGACCTTTCCCGAAATCTTCGTGTGTGCCCGTCTGGTGACTGAAGCCACCCACATCAGTCCTCCCCTTCCCCTTTCTCTCTCTCGTCTTCGTTCTCTACCATTTTTATCTCTTCCTCCACCTGGTACCTCCCACCTGTGCCCACCCAACCCCTCCCTCCCCCTACATCTTCCCTCCCAAGGTGTAGTAGGTTGGAGCCTTCTGCTTGCCGGACTGACGCTTGACGGTCACTCTTGTCGGTGGCTGCCTCCTCCGCGGTGTGTGCTTCTCCAGTGTCTCACTCCTCCACCGGTGATCCTCTACTGGTCCTTCTCCCTCACCATCACCCGTCCGTCCTGCGTGCCTCATCGTCCTCCGGGATATACCAGTGAACCAGCGCCCTCCACGCCCCTTGGAGTAGCGCCACACACCCGCTCCTACTTTTCGAATCCTACATAACCTTTCTTGAGCTTGCTCTTCTCGCCGCCTCCTTCGTCAGGATGTTGGCCCAGGGAACGGAACAACGCGCCATGGCCAACAACTACTTGGTCATCTTCGCTCTGCTGCTTATAATGTACATACTGTGGCACGTCGTTTTCTCTTGAGGTGAGTGCACGTTCACGCCGCTTAATGTATCGCACATTGCCTTCCAAATGCGTCAAGTCTGGCGCCAAATCTACGTATTTTTGTTGTATAGGAATAGGTATTACAGCTTTGCCGATTTTTTCCTAAATCCGTTGACAGTAACTCTTTATAGAGTGCTTATGATGTATTTCATTTTGGGCATTTTTCCAATTTTTGTTTCCAGCGGCACCCACAAATGAACTTCTTGTTCCTAATTAAATTAATATTTAATGCCAGAATGACTTAAGAATTAATATGGGCTAGTACTGCCCTCTTCTTTACACCACCAACCTAAATGGACTGGAACAGGGGCACCTTTTCCGTAACGTGGTAAGTCATGTAGGACTTGTGTGGGGCGGTCTAGCAGCAGTAGGTGGTGCAGGCAAGTGACGGCTGACTGACCTATTATTACCCACACCAGGCATAACCAAACATAACA